TAGCAATAGTCAAAACATGAAGCAAATCAACGTGTGAATGTGTATGTCTGTTGGTTAAGTGGTGTGTAACTAAAAACATTCTCACGACCTCTAATACATGTCGTGACTTGAACATAGGGACATTATGGCTAAGTCTACACATCATAATAATAATATTGAACACCCTGTCTGCTGACAGTCATCAACTCTTCTCTCTGGTAACCTTGACCAGATGTACCCTGTAGAAACTCATATGCAGGCCTAAGCATTTAACAGTTTAACTAGACATCCTCTCTCCACTAAACATTTCTAATACATAAAGTATCTATCCAATATCTATCTGACTCAAAATAGCTAACACCATGCCGAATTGATGCAGTAATTAAAGCAAAGGGAGCCCCTGCCAATTATTGAGTACATATACAGTAAAAGAACATACTTTCCAGAAGGCCAACAATTCACTAAAAATGTTTTTTTATAGGTCTTATGAGGTATTCTAATTTATTGAGATAGTGAATTGGTGGGTTTTTGATAAAGGTGAGCAAAATCATCACAATTAAAACAAATTTTGCTAGCCTTTTTTTTCTAACTTTATTACCCAATACTAGTATCACACGAGCAATCCATCGGAATTACAACTGCTGACAATAACCAAAACGGACCTTTCACATACTGGAGGATATATCGGACCTGGAATCAGTCATCGACCAATACTACATTCACTGCAGTATGGATACCGCCAATACAAACCAACAAGATACACCAAAACCAAGCAAACGAAAAAAGACCTCCTCTACGGATACAAGCGATCTACAGACGACAGACATTGGGGTCAGTGTTCTTGCATCCATCAATAGGAAACTCGATTTACTGGTCACACTTCACAAGGAAATAAAAGAACTCCAGTCAAGCCTTGAATTCGCTGACAACTACATTGAAAAATTAGAGCAGTCAAACAACTCTCTCCAAGTATCCGTCAAAACCCTCAGCGAATAAATGGACTTCGTCACGAAAGAAAACAAAACAATGAAAGAAACGATATTGGACATTCAAACCAGAAACATGCACGATAACCTGATATTCACCGGCATTCCAGAACAATCACCCGACAACCCCGAAACACTGGTTAAGGACTTCATGAAAAACCAACTAAAAATTCCACCGGATATTGTTAATAAGATCACCTTTCACTGTGTACACCGCCTTGGTCCACATTCCAACAAAACATCCCGGCCAATAATAGTGAAACTGGAACACTACAAGCACAAAGAACTGATTAAAAGGAAAGGAAAGGAATTGAAAGGCACAAACTTTGGACTCAATGATCAATTCCCACGTGAAATAAACGAACGACGGAAAATCCTCTACCCCATCCTGAAACAACACAGGCGGAACAACAAACGGGCAAATATCATTATGGACAAATTATACATTGAAGGACAGCTCTATCGTGAGTCGAACATTACCCCGTGGCTTTTCTGACAGACTACCTGTCAACCAGTGACTGCTACATTATATGTTAAATAATTCACCCCCTTTCATCACCCTGGTCTCTCACATCCACACACAGAGCCAGCCCTATCCCACACGGACTGCTACAACCATCTCCTGCACCATCTTTTTTTTTCTCTCTGTTATTCTGTTTGTATTTTTGTTTTAATCACACCATGTGGAAATGTACACTTGTCTATGTTTTTTTGTACTGCTTCCGTGTCTTGCCCAAGGACACTTCGACGTGGACTGCAAGCACCAAGATTCGAACCTTCAACCTTCCAGTTGGGAGACAACTGCTCTACCCACCGCACTGTCGCCACTCCACATTTAGGAACTACTGAATACTTTCCCCATCTCTCTCTCTTTTTGACTTTGGATTATTTGTCTTCTCCAGCTGGTCAAGATTGAGAGCTGGGTGGCCAGTTGACCCACTCCACCAGCCCACCACTCTGGGGGTGCAACGTTGTAGTCCAAGGCTTTTTTGATGCCTAGCTGCCAACACACCTCACCAAACACCTCAGCCTCAAAGTTCAGCCCCTGGTCGCTGTGCAGCTCCTCAGGTGCACCAAACCTGCAGAACATCTCATTGATTAGGCAGTCTGGTCAGGGACTGTGTATTGCTCTGGCCACTCTGTGAAATAATCCATTACCACAGCAGTTCCCTTGATCTGTGGTGGGAAAAGGGCCCAGAATGTCCACTTCTACATGCTCCATCAGGGCTTCTGTCTGATACTGTTGCAGGGGAGCGTGTAAGTGTCAGCTAGTAGAAGCGGGACCACAGCCAGTGCAAAGTCTTTGTGATGCTGAAATTGCCCCCCAACTGGAGGCCATTCTGACGGACCCAGCAAGGCACCAGGAGCTTCAGGATATCGCGGTGGGCTTTGGGCTCCTGCCAGTGGCAGTAGAGGAGGCCATCTCAGTCAACTAGGCTGGGCCAGTGGAAATAGAGGGCTTTAGTCTCTGTGTCCAGGGCAGGGACTACCGCCCCCCACCCAAACCTGGACCCAGCTGAGGACAGGGTTCTGGCTGTAGACATGTTGGAGCTGTCGTGGCAGCAGCACCCTGGTCTTCAGCGCACTGGCAGTGTCTGTGCTCCTCTTCCTTGCAGGGCAGTCATAACATAGCGTCCACGTTGGTGTGATGGCAGCCAGTCCAGTGGTAGATCTCAAAGTTGTAGTCTTGTAGGGTCTCTGTACACAGAGCCAGCTGACCCTCCGGTTCCTTGAAGTTGAGCAGCCAGGTGAGAGAAGCATAATCAGTTTGAAGCAGGAATTTTGGTGGATCCCCAGCATGACAGCCAGCAGCTCTCAGCAGGTGACACAGTAATTCCTTAATGGCTGGCTGAGAGCGCAAGCTGGGCTGTGGTCTTGGGCTGTGCTTCTGGTGTTAACTCCACCTGCCAGTAGTTGATGCACTTATCTAGGGAGCTAAACCAGCAGACCTGAGCGATGTAGGGTCATCGATGCGTGGCAGTGGGTAAGAATCTTTTTGAGCGACCTCATTAAGTCTGTGCTAGTCGACAGGGCCTCCAGGTGCTGTCTTTCTTCTGGACCATAAAAACAGGTGCCACCCAAGGACTGTTGGACAGCTTGATGATGCCCACTGCCACCATCTCTCAAATTTTCTGTTCCACTGCAGCTTGTCTGGTGAGTGGTAGATGCTGTGGCTGGAAGCATAAGAGGCATGCATCGCCAGTGTCAATGCCATGCTGCACCAGGCTAGTGTGCATAGAGTCCTCATCTCTGGCCATGAAGATGTCCCACAAATGCCTCCAGCAGCTCCCTCGGCTGTTGTCTGTGGTCCACCGCCAAGGCTTCACAGCTCATCTTGAACAGTTTGTTGACAAGCTTATCTGATCTCAGCCAACACCTCCCAGACTGGCGGCAATGTGGCTAGCCCCTCTGGTCGGCAATGGCAATCCCTCGGCTGGTCCTCAGCTGGTGACAACAACCTTTCACTTGCTTTTAACAGAATAGTGCACTGTACTGTGTGTACTACATTGGGTCCATTTCCATGATAACACAAAATTTTAACATTTTCAATGCAGGATTTTACTTGTAACAGAGTAGGCAAGTTTTACTGTGTGATAATAGTGCATTTACTTAAATCAAGGATGTGAATACTTCCTCTACTACTGGTACTAATATGCAAACTAAAATGCTTCAGTTATATAACATGTTACAGTTATATGCTTTTTAAAATCATGTTTATAATTCTGTTTATTCTTTAGGGTCAGTCTAGCACTGCAGTCCAGTTCAATCAACTATCAGAGTCACTAGCAATTAAAAAAAGAAAGACCCCTCTCTTTTCATTCCTTTGAGGGTTGTTGTAGCTGATAATAATAGTAATTGTGTAATACTGTATACTGTAATATTTTCTGAGATGGTTTTCATGCTATTAAAATCTCTTACCATTGCAACAATAGCTGTAGCTGATCATTTGTTACACAAGGCTGCATCTGCATGAATTAGTAATAGCTAGCCAAATGCATTCAACTTTTTATTTCCATCCTTCCATCGATTATCTATACTGCTTATTCCTGAACAGGATTGTGGTTGACATTGCGAGAGGCAGGGTACACCCTGGACAGGTTGCCAGTCTATCACAGGGCTGACATGTAGACAAACAACCACACACACACACTCACACTCACTCATAGAGGCAATTTAGAGTTGTCAATCAACCACAGTCTATAGACTGTGGGAGGAAGCCAGGGTACCCAAAGAGAACCCATGCAGGCACAGGAAGAACATGCAAACTCCAAACAGACTCCACCAAACTCTACACAGACTTCACTGCATACTCCACATCTTGCTGTGAGGTGACAGCTCTAACCCCTGCACCACTATGCCATCCAGCTTTTTATTTCTGTTTTACAAATCAAAATATCTCTCTTCAACAAAGGAGTTAACTTACTGTTATGAACATTTATTTTGGGGTTAAATCAAGGTATGCATAAAGTATTCAGACCCCTTCACTTTATGTAAACTTCACTGTGTTGTAATTTCAAATTGATGAAATTGACATTTTTGCCTGCCTAGAATGAGTAACCAGTGATAAATTGAAAAGATGGTTTTAGAATGCAGTACAGAGTGTTTTTATTGTACCTTGTTGCAAGCAGTAGTTCCTTCATAGACAATGAAAGTTGTTTGAGTAAATCTTTTTCTTTCATAGTTTAGAGTTTCCAGTTTTATTGCCTGTATACTGTATTCTGTCCCCTGTCCTAGGCTTCAGCTTCAGTCCCCAGGCCACTACTCTCCCCTGGAGGCCTTCTATGAGGACAAGAGGGCACGCCTGCCCCCCAGTGGTGATGCTGTTGTTACTGCATGTCCAGCCAACATCTGGGGAGCTGCAATCAACTACAGCATGCAACCTGAGATGAAGGTAGGAGAGACTTTTTCATGTCCCTTTCAGTTACTGTATGTCAGCTGGTGTTTATGGTTGTCTCTCACACTGTAGGTAAATCCCAATTCCCTTATTTTATTGTCCTTGATCTGGTCCACCCCTGCATTTCTGTCAGATAACGCACCAATTCTCAAAGAAAATTGTTGCAATCACAGATTCTTTGGTATTCTCGTGTTTGTTTGTTTTGTTTTGTTTTTTTTTTTGCATTGGAACAACACAAAAAAGCTGAAGAAAAAAAAAAGCCAAATCTGATACATTCCACGCAGAAATCCAAAAATGGACTGGGCAGAATTACTGACATCTTTTCATAATCATCAGAAATAGTTTTATTTCAAGAATGTGATGCTTCTTTAATTTGTAATGAAGAAAGAAGAGCAAAGAATTGTCTGATCAACTTTGAAACAAATTCAAGCTGACCTGCAGGCACAGGGTGCACCAGTGTCAGCTCACACTATCTGCTACAGTCAAACATGGTGGAGGTTCACTGATGTTTTGGGGTTGCTTTGCTGCTTCAACTGCTGGATGTCTTGACTGTGTATATGGCATTATGAAATCTAAAGACTACCAGTGAATTTTGGGGCACAGTGGGGGGCCCAGCGTCAGAAAGTTGGGTCTCCGTCAGAGGTCATGGGTCTTACAGCAGAACAATGACCCAAAGCATATGTCAAAAAGCACCCAGAAATTGTTTCAGACAATGCACTGGAGAGTTCTGAAGTGGCCAGCAGTGACCTGTGGAGAGTTCTCAAAACAGTAGTTGGGAGAAAAAGCCCTTCAAATCTGAGAAGCCTGGAGCAGTTGGCAAAAGAGAGAGGAGTGGTCCAAAATTCCAGCAGAGAGGCGTGAATTTTGGGGCACAGTGGGGGGCCCAGCGTCAGAAAGTTGGGTCTCCGTCAGAGGTCATGGGTCTTACAGCAGAACAATGACCCAAAGCATATGTCAAAAAGCACCCAGAAATTGTTTCAGACAATGCACTGGAGAGTTCTGAAGTGGCCAGCAGTGACCTGTGGAGAGTTCTCAAAACAGTAGTTGGGAGAAAAAGCCCTTCAAATCTGAGAAGCCTGGAGCAGTTGGCAAAAGAGAGAGGAGTGGTCCAAAATTCCAGCAGAGAGGCGTAAGAAACTCACTGATGGTTACAGGAAATGACTGATTTCAGTTATTTTGATGAAAGGACCAAATATTATGTTGAGGGTGTCCAGTCCATTTTTGGAGCTGTGTTGATTGTATCAGATTTGGCTTTTTTCCCTCTGCTTTTTTGTGTTGTTACAATGCAAACAAAAGAAACAAGCATGAGTATACCAAAGAATTTGTGATTGCAACAATTTTCTGGGAGAAGTCATGTGTTATCTGACAGAAATGCAGGGGTGCCAATATTTTAGGCCATGACTGTATAACTGAGGAACAACAAGGGTATCCTTCACAGAAGTCTGTTACAGATTGACATACCCCAGTTTGTGATTGGATGTTTCACATGGAGAATTGGAGCAAAGGATGTCTCATGTCAGTTAAAACATGTTTTCTCTGTTCCTCTCTCCTCACAGTTTCTCCTTGCATCATTTCCTTGCATCTTACCTGAGTGGGACTAAGACGCAAGGAAAAGACGCAAGTGAAGGAACCATGGATGCAGTTAGGGGAATTGGTATTCACCCTGTATTTAGTCACTAATCTTGTGTGCCTCTGTGCACCAGATCACACACCCTGAGGGCTGTATGTCCCAGTTCATCCGCTTCTTTGGGGAGCAGATCATGGTGCTGTGGAAACTGGCTCTTCTCCGTAGACGCATTCTCATCTTCTCACCTCCACCTGTGGGTGTAGTGTGCTACAGAGGTGAGAAACATCTGGATTTAGTCACAAGAGTTTGAACATAAGTTTAAAGAACTAGTTTAACACTTTGGGATTTGCACATTCACTTTCTTGCCTTGTGTTTGACAAGAATATTGATACCTCTTGTGTCTCTCCATTCAGTATAAAGCTGCAGCCAGTTAGCTTAGCTTAGCATAAAGCCTGGAAACAGGGAGAAACAACTGGCCTGGCTCTGTCAGAAGGTAACGAATATTCTCATTAACATGTATCGTGATAAAGTGTAAAAGTGACAATTTATTGTCATTCACCTTTACTCTTCATACTAAACAGTCTCATGGCTGCAGCTTCATTTTGCAGCCACATATGAAAGTGACAGGGATCTTCTCATCAAACTCTTGACAAGATGGTAGAATAGTGTATTCCCAAACTGTCAAAACATTTTTTTCATTTAGAACCAAAATAAAAATTATCCTTTTACTTCAGTATGTTTACAAAGTATTTTACAATTAAAGCTCCGAAGCCCACTAATCCTATTCAGAAAAATTTTAGTCTGTCTCATTTTGTGACTTTTACCTGTAGTTACATGAGTATAGCAACTGTACATCAGTGCACATGCAGTTCCTTTCCAGCTGTATTTGTTGGACAGACCACAAGTCATGCACACATTCAAATCCTGTGTTCCTCTTTCACTCCCACACTCATGTGTCATTATTTTCACCCTCCGCTCCCCTCTTAGTGTACTGCTGCTGTTGTCTGGCAAACATCTCCATCCCTGGTGTTGGCATGGCTGTGCCTGAATTCCGCCCCTTCTTCTATGTTAATGTGGCTGATATCAGCGCCCTGGAAAATGAGCTCTCCTATGTAGCGTGTAAGTGGATGCTAGAAAAGTCTTAACATTTGTGAACAAGTCCACTGAAAAAGGACTGGGCTAGTTAGTCCATTATACATCTTTTGCAGGAATGACTAGTATCCAATATTTCAAATGTTCAGGTACAACTGAGAAAATCTTTGAGGAGAAGAAGGATCTGTATGATGTGTATGTAGACAATCAGAATGTAAGGACCTACAGAGATGGCCTGAAGCCCGTGCTCCGCCTCAGCAATGCAGACAGGGAGAAATATCGCAAACTCACCAAACAGAGGTAGGTACAACAATGGGAATGTTTACCAAAGTGGGAATTTATAGACCATGACGTGTGATATTCTGTAGTTTTTGTAATGTCAGTGAATTCCAAAAGACAAAAACCAACAATGAATGGATCCTGTTCCTAAGTGATGGCTGTTTCCAAAGCCTGTCATAGTGCTCCACTGTTGTCTAAAAACAACATAAAGCTCATGAATGTTCATTACTATGAACACACACACTGTAGTTTCTTTTTAATCCCATATACCCCATCATGCTTCTGGAAATACTCTGATTAATCCACAGAGGGAAAAAGTGCCCAACAAATGCATTATTTACTCCTGTTTTAGTAACATTTGATAAAAACTACAGTGCTTAGCTGTGACCATAGTAACGGTTATATAGTAACCTGCTGACTTTAGCATGTTAGTATTTTGTTATATTAAAAGTAGCATTTAGCTAAAAGCACCACTATGCCAAAGTACAGCCTCACAGCTCCTTTTAATCTAACAAAACATGCATATCTTGAAATAAATCCTATAGTGCACCCAATCCTCTAGGTTTTACTGATAGAAATATAGCATGCGTCTGTGTGTAGGCAGATGTTGCTGTATTCCCAGGAGGAGACTGGAGACTGTGTGTCCAGTGAAGAGGATCTCTTCATTCTGTAAGTACAGTATTCATTTAACTAACCTGCACAATAGTACACCACTTGGAATAAGTTGATTTTTTCATGAAAATCCTGGGAAGAACAGTCAGCACAGTGACAGCTTAGAAACCAAATTAGTGGTGTATTGAGCCTGACAGAATCCCACATCTTCTCTCTCCTCCCAGTCACTGTAGTTAATACAGAAAGTAACAATTGTGCTAATCAAGAAGCATTCAGCTAAATTAAACAAAAGAAAGAAATTGAGCACAGTAACTGTCTCACCTGCTTTCTCAATTTCAACTTATCCAGGTTTTTTCTGGAGCAGAACAACAGAATTTTCCAGACCCTAAGCGAGGTGGCAGGAAGTCCTGATCCCACTCTGACCCAGGAGAGCGTGCGGGCCATGGGTCTGGACCCCCATGGCGACAGACTCTTCCTGCTTCATCTACTGGAGATTTATGGCTATGACACCCTGCTGGTGTCAGAGCAGCTCTGCTGCAGCTGAGAGCCAACAGAGGGCTGGCTTTCCTTTCATTACTCCAATATCTCAAAGGGGGTTGGTTTGCCTTAAGCCTACTCTGAGTTCTACACATCTGGCTTACTGGAGTCTTCAGAGCTGCCTGAGCCTCCAGGAATGTCTCTAGTATAATTTTTTGTTGTATGTCTGTTGTATGTTGTCTGACCTTTTTTTCCACCATGGTTCTACTGACAAGAGCACAATTAACAGTCAACTCTTAGAGATCACCTCATGGAGATAAACTTGTATTTGAGATGGATTACTCACCATCAGGTGACTTAAAGTGACTCTCTGGATTGGATACAACTGCAATTTTTCCAGTACTGTGCTGTGTTTGAACACCCCAGGATTGCAGATTCAAACACACCTGCTGTTATTAATGGCAAGAATAATTCTTCATTACAAGGGACATATGGCACTGGGACATTAAGTTGAATGACTTCTTCTAAGATTCAGCTAGTGGTCTGAAGATTTTCCATGGACAAAATGTGGTGATGATTAATGTAATAAAGTAAACAAGAGGTAGCCTTCCTGTAAATAATTCAGAATTTTCTTCCCTCTTTATCTACAATGTGTGTCTTAAGTGTGTGTTATGGGGTCCCACTCAAATTCAAATTTCAAAGTGAGAGGGGCTTTATTGGCATGAAAGTTTCAAGTAACAATGTTGCCAAAGAGTCAAAATTATATAAAAATGTAAGTATTTAAATAATTGGACAATTCAAAAGAAAAAAACTGATATGTATTACATATGTACAGTTTATCATGTAGGTTTGTATGTGTGTATGTATGTGTACTGTGTGTGTCTTTCACTGTTCTTCAGGTTGTGGCATATTCATATACACCAACAAGCCACTTTAATGGGCACACTTGTACAACTGTATGCACTTCAGTGTGAAAAGTCCACCTTAACATCTGAAGTTAGAAATTTTCAGTTTTTCTTGAAATTGTCATAAATTATAAATTCTATGTTTATTATTAAGGTTTTAGTTAAAGGTGGTGTTGTACTGGACTACATTGTATTCAGAGGTGTCTACTTTTTTATCCTCACCAGCTACATACATGAGAGGGTCAGAATTTTAGGAACACCTCTCTCTTTTCTTGTACTTGTAAAATGTATCTGCAGAATTCTACATGTAAAGATTCTGTTGGGTGTTCATCCCAATGGGTTTGATTCTCTGCCTGTGCTGGATTTAAATAGCCCATTCTTCAGCCTCTATGTCAAAATCAGGGCTAAAATATGTCATTATTAGCAGGTTAAACAGCCTGTCTTCAATAGCCATGTCCATCCATCCATCATATATACCACTTATCACTGAATACGGTCGCGGGGGACTGGAACCTATCCCAGCTGACATTGGACGAGAGGTGGGGTACATCCTGGACAGGTCGCCAGTCTGTCACAGGGCTGACAAGTAGACAAGCAACCACACACACTCACACTCACTCCTAGGGGCAATTTAAAGTCACCAATCCACCTAAGCTGCACCTAAGCTTTGGACTGTGGGAGGAAGCCGGAGTACCCGGAAAGAACCCACGCAGGCACAGGGAGAATATGCAAACTCTACACAGAAAGGCCCCAGATTGGCCTGGGCTAGAACCCAGAACTTTCTTGCTGTAAGGTGACAGTGCTAGCATCCTGGACAGGTCGCCAGTCTATTACAGAGCTATGTCTGTAACCATTGATGTTTAAGTGGAAAATAACCAGGATTTGGCCTAATTAGTATTTGTCAAGACTGAAAATGTGGCATGAGCGGAAACCAAATCAATGGCTGATGTCCAACAGTTATGGAAATTACTTGCATGTATATACTGTAGTCATGGCCAAAAATATTGGTACCCCTGCATTTCTGTCAGATAACACACCACTTCTCCCAGAAAATTGTTGCAAATTCTTTGGTATACTCATCTTTCTTTCTTTTGTTTGCATTGGAACAACACAAAAAAATTTGAAAAAAGCTAAATCTGATACATTCCACACAGAAATCCAAAAATGTACTGGACAGAATTATTGACACCTTTTCAAAATCATCTGAAATTCTTTTATTTTAAGCATGTGATGCTATTTTAATTTGTAATGAAACTCATCTATAGCAATCAACAGGTGCTGGCAATGCAGAAATCACACTTGCAAACAGTTAAAATGGAGAAAAGTTGACAGCCTTTATGTCGTGTGTACAACACTGAGCATGGAGAAAAGAAATAAAAACAAAGAATTGTCTTGAGAATCTGACAACCACAATGTTGGAAAGGCATGGATAATCTCAAGGCTACAAGTCCATCTCCAGAGATCTTGCTGTTCCTGTGTCCACTGTGCGCAACATTATCAAGAAGTTTACCGCCTATGGCAGTGTAGCTAATCTCACTGGACATGGGCAGAAAAAAAAAATAGATGACAGATTGCAACAAAGGATTCTTCCAATGGTGAATAAAGAATCTCGATCAACTTCCAAGCAAATTCAAGCTGACCTGCAGGCCCTTTGGTATCTGACTGACAGAGAGAGAATGTCCCGCGGACTAAGATAGAGCTTTTTTGTAGAGCACATCATTCTACAGTTTTCAGAAAATGAAATGAGGTCTTCAAAGAAAAGAACATGGTCTTGGAGCAGTTGGCAAATGAAGAGTGGTCTAAAATACCAGTAGAGAGGTGTAAGAAACTCACTAATGGTTACAGGAAGTGATGGACTCATTGACAGTTCTCTTATCTAGTACTTTTGTTTAGTTCCAGGCAGAGACTGTGATTCCGTTCTTCTGTTCCCTATCTTTCAGATTGCTGGATTGTCTTACAACTTGAACTGTTCGGTATTATTATAATATTAAATAATTATTGGAATTGGAATGATATGCTTGAATTAATTTAGTTCACATCAGACCCTAGCCACCACAGATTTCTTTTTTAGCATCACTCTAGCAGGAAGGAGCCTAAGGTGGGAGAAGTTTATTTTGAATTTAATCACCTATCTTGGCTATCCTCCAAGAATTTGTGTAGAGGGTAACCAGTTAACTTGCTTTATCCCTACAGGTGGTGGAAGGACGCTGCGATCACTAACACTAACACTATTACTAACACTGCTGTAAATAACTTGTGTTTACAGAACAAATTGATGTTGTTTTTACATGTCTGATGTTTAAGTGATTATGTTGTTGCTTGAAACAAAAAAGAGAAATACAGCCCGTTTAGGTTCCAAATGTATACGAGTTGCTAAGTAGCAGTTTTGATAGAGTTTAAATTTGTAACACTGTAATAATGACATCTGTACTACTGTGGGTTCTACAGGGTTCAGTTATAGTTGTTTAGACTCTAAAGGGATTAATCATTAGGTTTCGGTTATGCTTAAATGTTGAAGTAATTTAGGAGCAGGGTGTTGTACTGCAGAAGCAGACAGACTGTCGTGTCCTTACACCCATTTTGGTTTTAAAGTGATTGAGTGTGTGCCTCTGTTTATAGACGAATAAATTTAAAGTACTATGCGAGGTGTATGGAGATACAGCCACATGTTTCTGACCCGATCAGTGGGGACCGGCTGTGTTCTTCATCGGTTTGTTGGCCAGCACAGAGAAATCTCACTTAAAAGCGCTTTGTAAAATAATTAAATAAAAGTCCAGACTTCAGTGTGTGTTTAACTATATGTATATCTATAGCTTGATCAAATCAAATCAAATTTTATTTGTATAGCGCCAAATCACAACAAAAGTCATCTCAGGACACTTTACAAAGTAAGGTCTAGACCTTACTGTTATCAATATTATTACATAGGGAAAACCCAACAAATCCCCCTTGAGCAAGCACTTGGCGACAGAGGGGAGGAAAAACTCCCTTTAACGGAAGAAACCTCCGACAGACCCCGGCTCTTGGTGGGCGGCCTTCTGCCTCGACCGGTTGGGGTGAGTGGATAGAGGAGAGAGGAAAGAAGAAAAGCAACAAGACACAACAAACAATCGAACACTGGTCAAGTTGATGTAGCCGGTGACTGCTCATCAGAAATATAGAGCTCCAGGGCCAGGGCAACCTGCAGAAAGGTACAGGGAGAGAGAGAGAGGACACACTACGGGAGAAAGGAGACACAAAGTTAGTAATGTGTAATGGTGGCATATAGAAGCATAGGGAGAGAGAGGAGAGGAGAGCAGTGCAGAATTGTTGTAAGTCAGCCACATTGGAGGGTTTTCGGGCATGAACTGCCTTTTTAAGGTCATGCCACAGCATCTCAATTGGATTCAGGTCAGGACTTTGACTAGGCCACTCCAAAGTCTTCATTTTGTTTTTCTTCAGCCATTCAGAAGTGGACTTGCTGGTGTGCTTTGGATCATTGTCCTGCTGCAGAACCCAAGTTCGCTTCAGCTTGAGGTCACAAACGGATGGCCGGACATTCTCCTTCAGGATATTTTGGTACACAGCAGAATTCATGGTTCCATTTATCACAGCAAGTCTTCCAGGGCCTGAAGCAGCAAAACAGCCCCAGACCATCCCACTACCACCACCATATTTTACTGTTGGTATGATGTTCTTTTTCTGAAATGCGGTGTTACTTTTACGCCACACATAATGGGACACACACCTTCCAAAAAGTTCAACTTTTGTCTCGTCTGTCCACAGAGTATTATCCCAAAAGTCTTGGGGATCATCAAGATGTTTTCTGGCAAAACTGAGACGAGCCTTTATGTTCTTTTTGCTCAGCAGTGGTTTTCGTCTTGGAACTCTGCCATGCAAACCATTTTTGCCCAGTCTCTTTCTTATGGTGGAGTCATGAACACTCAGCTTAACTGAGGCAAGTGAGGCCTGCAGTTCTTTGGATGTTGTTGTGGGGTCTTTTGTGACCTCTTGGATGAGTTGTCGCTGCGCTCTTGGGGTAATTTTGGTCGGCTGGCCACTCCTGGGAAGGTTCTCCACTGTTCCATGTTTTCGCCATTTGTGGATAATGGCTCTCACTGTGGTTCGCTGCAGTCCCCAAGCTTTAGAAATGGCTTTATAACCTTTTCCGGACTGATAGAGCTCCATTATTCTCTTTCTCATTTGTTTTTGAATTTCTTTGGATCTCGGCATGATGTCTAGCTTTTGAGGATCTTTTGGTCTACTTCACTTTGTCAGGCAGGTCCTATTTAAGTGATTTCTTGATTGCGAACAGGTGTGGCAAGAGAAATTGAACTCAGGTGCGATAAACCAGTGTTTTGACAGGGGGGCAAACACTTGTTCACACAGGGCTCTATAGTTTTGGATTTTGTTTTCCCTTAATAATAAAAACCTTCATTTAAAAACTGCATGATGTGTTTACTTGTGTTATCTTTGACTAATATATAAATTTGTTTGACGATCTGAAACATTACAGTGTGACAAACATGCAAAAAGATAAGAAATCAGTAAGGGGGCAAACACTTTTTCACACCACTGTATATACATACATATACATACATACATACATATATACATACATACATACACACACACACATACATACACATATACAGTTGTGTTCAAAATAATAGCAGTCCAACATCACTGGATCAATCACTGTTTTTGGTAGAAATTATATTTCCTGTTCAAAATAATAGCAGTGTGGAGATCAATTAGTGAGGTAATTCATTCTGTGAAAAAACAGGTGTCAAATAGATGGCCCTTATTTAAGGACAAAGGCAGCAAATGTTGTACATGCTGGTTATAGTGCATTTATCTCTGAAAATCTGAGTAAACTGGGCCATTCCAGACTGTGGTTCAGTGGGTAGAGCAGTTGTTTCCCAACCAGAGGGTTGGAGGTTCAAATCTCAGTGCCTGCAGGCCATGTGTCAAAGTGTCCTTGGGCAAGACACTGAACCCCCAAGTTGCCCTTGATGGTTAGAGCCATTGGTTGAGTTGGCACCGCAGATGGCTGCCTCGCTTCTGTACCGGAAACACATTCCTTGTGTGTAACATACTTGGCCAAATAAAGGTGATTATTGATCATTATTCAGAACAGCTTACTTTGATTAAAAACTGGATTGGAGAGGGGAAAACAAAGTGCAGAAAATGATCTCAAATGCTTTTAAATGGCAACCAAAACCAGAAAGATGTGGATGAAAATGGAAAACTACCATTCAGATGGATCGAAGAATAGACAAAGAGGCAAAGACTCAGCCGATGATGAGCTCCAGGGTGAAGGTCAAAGAAGGTCTAAAGTTACCTGTGAATACTGTAACAATTAGAAGATGCCTATGTGAAGCCAAGCTATCTGCAAGAAGTCCAAGTCCAATTGTTGGGGAAAAAAAAAAAAAACGGTGCTGAAGAGGTTACAATTTACCAAAGAACACACTGACTGGCCTAAAGAGAAATGATGCAACATTTTGTAGACTGATGAAAGCAAGATTGTTCTTTTTGGGTTTAGGGGCCACAGACAGTTTGTCAGATGATCCCCAAACACTGAATTCAAGCCACAGTACACTGTGAAGACATTGAAGCATGGTGGCGCAAGCATCATGATATGGGAATGTTTCTCATACTATGTTTATTGGGCCTATTTATCACATACCAGGGATCATGGATCACTTTGAATGCATTAAAATACTTGAAGAGGTCATGTTGCTTAATGCCAAAGAGAAAATGCCCTTGAAATAGGTGTTTCAACAAGTCCATTCCAAACACACCAGTAAGCGAGCAGCATCTTGGTTCCAGACCAACAAGATTAATGTTATGGAGTGACCAGCCCAAACACAGGACCTTAATCCAATAGAAAACTTGTGAGGTGACATCAAAAATGTTGTTTCTGAGACAAAACCAAGAAATGCGGCGGAATTGTGGAATGTAGTGCAATCATCCTGGGCTGGAAAACCTGTTCACAGGTGCCAGAAGTTGGTTGACTCCATGCAACACAGATGTGAAGCAGTTCTCAGAAATAACGGTTATAGAACCAAATATTAGTGCAGTGTAGCCTGCAATTTATTTTGCCCAGCCTAATATTACTTTTTCTTTACTTTCTGTAAAGTAGTAAATTAGATAGCTTTTCATGTTTTGATGTGGAATAGAATATGCAGTGTTCCCAATGTATTTGCGTGTATGAAAATAAAAGCTTTTAGAAGAATTTAGAGCTTTACTTTCTTTTTTAAACTATTATTTTGAACACAACTGTATCTCAGCTCTGTGGTCGTGACGACATAGCACTATATGCGTTATCTAAGGTGCTGAAACAAGCATCTTTGTACTGGAAAGGATAGCCCAACTCATGTTAAAACACCTTCACTTTATTTATTTTACTATAAACCATTTCAGAAATAAAGTGTACAGCTACTTGTAAAGAAAACATTTGAATATCTTGTATTCATCATTTATTCAATTTCATTTATCACATGTATAGCTCAAAGCTAATGTCCAACAGTAATGGACTCGTTTCATCCGTTAGGTTTGTTTGCATGCTTGTATGAGTACTTTCCACAGTGCCTAAATATTCAGGAGTAGGCTTCCTTTTTGCTGGTTATGATAAATTCCCTAGCAGAGTTGTGTTCACAACTCTGCAAAGAGTCAGCCAACACTGCTGGGGTCCAGGCCAGGAGTAAGTTGAGATGGTTTTGGGTCAGCTGAGACAAAAACATGGCAGGTATACACGATAGGGGCTTCACATCCTGGAAATGAATATTAAATTTAAAGAATATTAAATGCAGAAATTCCCCAAAAAGAGCAGGACTGTAGGATTTTAAACAACAAAACATCTTGTACAATATTGCTGTTCAGCCCTCAAGTAGAATTTCAGAAACTTGAAAATGTTATGCTAAGGACCACCAAGGGTGTTATGGAGGCTCATGGTGGTCCAACACCTTGCCAATACACTTCACCTAGGGTCTTCTTTCTTTCCAGAAGCATTTGTTATATTTAAAAATTCTTTTCAATGACAATGAATACATTAAATGCACCAATGGAAAAAAAAAAAAAAAAAAAAAAAATCAACCTATGGTTGAACAAAAATAATTTCTCATTCCAAGTAAAACCACTGAATGGGCTACCTGCCAGTCAATCTACTTCTTACTTGTTCGCACTCAGCTCGCATGTTGAATGCACAGGCAAAGTCTCCCACAAGGCGTTGCAGGCAAAGGCGTTACTGCTATTTTATAGTTAAAGCTAGCGAGCTATGGCAGAGAAGGTACCCACAGCAGCTTTCATGTGCAAATGAGGGCCATTGTTACAGGCCAGGCCTTCTCCTTTAAGATGTATAGCCTTATAGGTAATGTTATTGTTGCCAGAAGTTACTACCTGCATACAGTGTGCACAGCATGAGAGTGAGAAGACCGCTACATGGAACAGACTCCTTTTACATGCAGCCACAGCTGGGAAAAATACCAACAGCTCTAAGTGTATAGATAGGATTGTAATGCATTTAACCGTGCATCAAGGCCACATACACTGTTCGTGTTACCAAGATGGAATAAAACCTGTGTTTTGAACAGCGTTATCTGGCCTCCCTCTTCACTTCTCCCTGCTGAAATATGCCTGGACTTCTAAGGCTGATTACTGGCTGCAAGTCAGGGCTAAAGCAGTTTAACTTAGCCATAGACCAGAGGTCCCCAACTACGGTCTGGGGCTGCAGATTTGGGCAGGTAACTGAGAAAATTCCAACTAAAAAGTGTTAGGTTATTTCTTAGTTAGATAGATATGGATTAGAGATCTAACTAACTAAGAAATAACCTAACACTTTTTAGTTAGATAGATATGGATTAGAGATCTGTTGTCTATGAATGTTTAGTGCAGACAGGGTGACTAGCTTGGGCTGTTAACTATTCAGC